ATTAAAAAATTCTAAAAATAGTATTCTAACGTTTTGAAGCGCGTTCTATCGAAAGAATGCAATGGTCAAGCCTACATATCTTATTTTAAGGGGGATTATTTTATGGTATACATATTTTATACAAGCATAACAAGAAGGCAAAATATTTTTTTAAAGTGCATAACAACTCTTAAAGAATATAAACGCGATAAAATCCGAAAAATAGTTTCATTTAACAATGTATAATATTCGCGTAAAATCAACAAAATAAATATGGAATAAAAAGCATTTCTCCCACACCACATTTGATTCCTTAGCCTAGAACATATAAAATAATCAAATATCGGGTAAAAAAAAAACAATGTTTCGTTTAAATGATAAAGTGTACATAGATCTCAAACATAAGAAGAGGAGTCATATAGGATAAAATATAGTAAATTATACCTTTACCTACTAGCAAAACTTTTCGTCTGCTGCCTCTTGGGACGCAGCTATTTCGAATCAGCGACCTTACACCGGCATATATAAACAGCAAAAAATTCTTCTTAGCTTATATTGGGTTTCACTCGGAATTCTTAAGCAGATTCTTTCTTTGTATTCCAAAGTACTCTGAATCTCATTTACATTTCTGTTAACAATGGTTCTTAATCTAGAGTTCGTGTACAATGACGACATAAATTTAAATCGTCTTAAGACAATAACAAAAATTCGATGGAAACTGGGCTGCTTGCGTTTATATTGAATATATAATAATCTGTAATGCGGGAAGTTCTGGGTAACGTACATGGATTTTTCTTAAAAAAGGTTATAATATCAGTTATTACTAGGTACTTTCTTAACTAAAGTACACTCCTTAGGACGCGAGCAGCTTCATTTCCTAAATTTATTTTATGATTATTCTTAATTATATAAACATGGGAAACATTCAAAGGAGATTTAAGATTCATAAAAAATATAAAGGACAATGCCAGATTCTGCCCCACCAATTTGCATCGTTTACACAAAATGTAAATATTCAAAAATTATGTAATGAATATTATATAACTATTTGAAATTGAATAAATATTATAAATCTTGCGGATAAAAAATTAAAAAAAAAAGTAATTTAACCATCTTCGTCGACTTTCCTATTTCTCGGGCGGCCATTTGCATTACTTTCTACGCATAAACGATCAATAAAAAGAAGTTATTGCTTTGTAGTAAATAGATAAAAAAAAAAACAACACTATTGAACATGCCATAATATTATTATATAGACATTATTACATAGATTTAATTCGAATCTTATAAAGACATGCAGAATTATTTGATTTTGAAAAAGTAACTACCTTTACCAGAAAAAAACTTATAGTTTATATAAATATAATAATTTAATAGTCTTTTCTCATTGTTGCCTGTGATGGTTATATTATTGATATGCAGTAACACAAACTGATGCTGAAATAATGCAGAAATTATTTGAAAATGAAAATGAGGTAATTTTTTAGAGAAAATGATATTTTTATATTAGATAGGGGTTTTAGAGATAGCATACCGGCCTTAGAATCTTATAGCTATAAGCTGAAAGCCTGAATCAGTGGATGAAGGTGAAACACAATTAACCACATTACAGGCAAACAAAAGCTGCTATGTAACATTATGCAGATGGGTTGTTGAGGTGGTGGCCGATTAAAACATTATTTTAAGTTATTGAGGCAAGATTTTTTAATAGGGCTTCTTTGCATTTAATGGATGATTTATTATTGTAAATTGTCTACAAATTGTAGCGGCTTTGATTAACCGTTTTCATCCATTGATTCAGGATCGACAAGATGCACACCAAATCATATCAAGAGCCTTACATTACTATAATGAGACGAATCATTTAGCACAATTCATCCAAGAATATAATTTAAATAGACGAAGAACCATCTTTACAAGAGTTGATGGAAATCTACCACAACTGCAGCAGTTTCCTATGTTTAGTTTAAGTGAATTAACACTTATGGCCTTAGGGCCGTATCAAATTAAACAGGCCCGTTCTTACTGTGGGGAGCATATAAGGGAACATGGTCTCTATTTAATAGAGGTGAGTCCAGAAGTGGAGCACTCACAAGAAATGACTAATAGTATTGGGGGTAACTTTTCATTTTTAATAAGGGGCCGAGTTAAGTCAAGGCATATCGGCCAAAGGCATTATTTCACTTATATTTTATTTGACAGAGAGCCTAGCGGTATCCTTGCGATTGACCAGATATTGGGATACTGCTGCAGTTGTGTTGTAGGCAATAGAACCTTCGGCTGTTGTTCTCATGTAATGACGCTTATATGGTACCTTGGTTGGGCTCGTCATCAAAATGATATTGATGTTCCATTGATGTTTCTCGATAACGTATTATTTACTTTGGAGATGAATAAATCAATAATTACTAAGGGGTTGTTTTATTTCCATTCAGTCCTAACAGTCTACCATATCGTTAAAGACGATAGAACAAGGTTTAGTAATACAGTTAAGAATTAAGATAGATCTTAAGCTACGCCATCGAGATACGCACCACTGTGTCGCTTCATCGACTATGAGTGTTAATATGGTTAATGTGTCGTGCATCGCGGTCGCTCATTTCATATACTCTCCATACAAAACAGCCTGCACGTATTCATAGCCATGCTTTTGGCAATAACTTTTAACAATATAGCATTTCTTTTTATCAGTTTTACGATTATAAAAGTATATAACCTCAAATAATTTTGAAACTTCAACTCAGATTTAAAACGAAACCGCAAGTTTTAGGGACGTATGTTTAAATGTTTAGTGATCATTTATAAAACAGCAATAAAATGCCGCATTAAGCATGCTTGTAAACGAATTTTAATAAGTGGGGCAGAGCTCCATACATTTTCTGGCATTGTCATTTAAAACTTTTGAAAAGAATTGGCTTAAAATTGAAATTAATAATGCAAAATTTGATCATGATTAAGAATTTTGATCAATATGAAATTTCCTAAAATGATCTAATTAGTTTCCGTTAAGAAGGAAAATTCAGTCTAAATCGGTAAGTAATATATATCTGGCTAATGGTTCTTTGAAAGATAATAACAAAGTCATAACGAGCGGAACATGGATGCAAACTATTAGAGTGCTATCTTACACATAGGGATAATTAATTTAAGCGCAGGTAGCTCTCATTAACAGAATGGAATGTTTTTTATTTTATGTTTCATAATAGATTTATTTTGAATTACGTATAAATATAATAAAAAATAGCTCTTGTGAAACATAACACACAAAATTCTGAATTTTTGGGTGACTATTTGTTTTATGTATGTTTTTAAGTTTCTAGAGTAGACTAGTAGTTTCTAGAGGAAAAGCTTATCCTTGCTTAGGCTGGTGGTACGATTAGTAGTATTTGATTCAAACCTGATCATTATTCATCATCATCCGTCGTCATGGAGAATTACCTGACATGTCAAAAAATAAATATCCCTGTTTAGTTCGTTTTTTTAATCTTATCCTTTAAACGAGTATATATATATATACAACCGGAATCTCGGAAACGGCTCCAGCGATTTTCATTAAATTTAGTGTGCATTTTCATTAAAATTAGAGTAGATTCGGGGGCGAAAAATTGATCTAGCTAGGTTTCATTTTTAGAAAATGTCCTTTTATTCCTGTTTTCAGGGAATGAAAAATATAATTCGAATACGACGTTAATTTCGCCGCAAAAAAAATGTTATAATAGCTCGGTCGGTAATCGGGCAGCCCCGAAACCGTGAAGAAGGCTGTGGTTCGTGTCACGAGCATTTACACATTTATTTTTTTACTTTTTTTTCGATTCCAGATCATTGTTTTCTTTATTTTTAATTTTTTGTCTATTTGTTATTTTGTTATTTTTTTCCCTTCTTTTTTAAACTTATTTGTTTTGTGAAAAACATCAGTTCATATTATTACGTCGATAAGATCGAAAAATATTATGCATATTTCATTACTCAGTAATTTGTATCTAAATGTAATTTCCAAAACACACGATTTACCAAAAAAAAAACAACGGTTCTCCGGGTACTATTTATTAACGTGACAATTGAAAATTATAATAGCAAATCTTAAGGCTTTTGTTACGGCCTTACCATAACGTTGTTTCTGCGCGAGTAATTAAGACCATTTTAAGTAAAGCTACCTGGACATTTGTTTTTATTATTTTTCCTTAATAATTAAAAAAAGGGCACAAAAAATAGAAGCCCTGACAACTAAGAGATTCAGATTAATTTCAAGACCCGCTTCTTAAGTGCGACCCCGATTTCGCTCGCTCATAACCGGTAATAAGATTTCCACGGGCTTAAACTGTTTTCCGTAGATTGTCGATTTTCATCACAAATTAGGATAAAAACCGACTTTATTTTTCTGCTGTTTATTTTTTCTGTTATATTTGAGTGCTGGAGCCGTGATAGTTCAGTGTCCGGGCGCTCGCCTCTAATTTAATATACTCGAGCAACCTGAGTTCGATCCCCGGTGCCAGCACCAAAGAAATTGTCAATTTTAAGTGCTGAATTATCATGTGCTCAGCGGTGAAGGAAAAAATCGTGAGGAAACCTGCATATTTTCGAAATAATAACAAAAAAAATATTTCGAAGATATGTGAAGTCCGCCAATCCGCAGTGGGGCCGCGTGGTGGACTATTCCCTGATATCCTCTGTACAGAGGAGGCCTATGCCCAGCAGTGGGACATGTATAGGCTGATACTTTTATTTGAATGCTCTTTTGAAATGCTCATAAACAAATATCAAGAGTTTGTCGGGCCGCTCTTCTTTGTATTAATTTTCTACGAAAAAGTAACCCGGGCCCACTTTAAGATTTTCAACGCTTCTACAAGCCCTCAGGTGTAGTCTCCCGCTCTCCACATCCAGCCTCTTCTAACCGCCTTTATAAGGTCCTTAGTCCATCTTAAGAGCCAATACTTCTTCTTCCCAACCGTGGCCGTAAGTCTATAACTTGCCCGACTGGCCAGCCCTCTGCCACTCCCTTAGAGAATCCGAGCATAACTCTATCCATCGTTCGCTATCCGGCCAGTGAGAGTCCAAATCTCCGAGACATTCAAAGCTGCACTGGTGAATATTGAACGGGGTCTCGTGATTTTAGCCCAGAATAGTCGAATACGTCTGTCGATCTCCCTGTTGAAGTTATCCCGGCTAAGTTGAGTTTTTTGGCTAAGATAGATGTAGTCTTTAACTACATCAATTGTCACGTTCCCGACGGTGACTGGATTGGGGATAACGAGGTCGTTGAATATGACTTTCGTCATAAGCAGGGGGTCCATTATTTAAGAACTAATGATCCAACAAACATTGCCATGAGTATAGTAACAGTCTTACTTACCATGAAATAAAAAAATATCTTGTATACTAATTTATAAATGAAAATGTATTTCGACTTCTTTTACCTAAGTATTGATTAGTTTGTCCAATAATATAGAATATATAGCTAGTATCTTCAAAGTGGAATTCGCTTAACAAAAAACTATTAAAGTTTTTAACGACTGGACACACATGAGACACAAACAAACAAAAATAAAATAATTCAAAATTTAATTATCGTGTACAGGTACAAAAAGCATCATTATTATAATTTTTTTAGCTGATTATTAACGGATAGTTATTTTCATGAATAATAAATTTCACGCTTGAACATTCTGTCAACGCTTATTGTTTTTCTATAAAAATTTGAAACAATCTTCTAAATTGCACGGATAGCTCAATCGTTCAGGTGGTCTATTTCTCAGCTGCCATTGCGTTGCAACTTGCATTTCGTACAAGAAAGATGTCACCGATTTTTGCTTCTTGAACTGTGGAAGACCATTTTTTTTGGACACATATTTTACACAACTTTCTCTAACCCCAAACTAACCAACGCTTGTACTATGGGTACTAGAAAAATGATAAACATACTTTTCTTTTGTAAATAAATACATATTATACATATTTTACATCCCCAGTCACCATCGTACTGCACCTGAATCAATTGCGCAATGACCGGTACTTCATGCAATAAAATCGACCACCGGCAAACCGCGGCGCCTTTTGTCATCCTAACTTCGGACCCCTTAGTGTCTTAAGTATTAGTATTAAGAACCTTTGTAAAACCTTCATTAAATATAGTTTTATATTAAATCGTTTTTTTAAGATCCTCCGCAGCGCAACCCGTAACTTGTATATAAACATCCAGACACTGGAAAAACACGATGTTCATCACACAATATTTTTCCAGTACTGGGGGGATCGAACACCCTCTGGCGCAGGAGGCAGGGTCACTACTCCCCACGCCAATCGGGTCGCCGTACATTTATATCGATGCATTAAATTGCTTCAATAAATTTTGAGACCAGCGTTTAAAAATAATTACATACTCTAAATAAATTGCTAGATAATGCATATTTAAATTTTTGTAATTAGTTTACTCTGGTATTGAAATTTTATATTCATAAAGTTACCTGACCTCAACGGTATTGGTTCTCCTGGTTCTAGATCATTGTGGCTTAACGTGAGCTTTTACGAGGCTGCGAATTCAGACATTTTCAGGCTTCGTTTTGGGTAAAAAATTGTAAGCTTTTCGCTGTGAGTGTCGCATCACCGATAATCCGTTTGAGGTGAAACTTTGTCGATTTCACTTCTTCTGCGCCCACAAACCAATAAACTTGGGGTTATAAGGGGGAATGAAATGCCATTCTGTGTTGTTCGCGTCTAAACGTTGTGCTATAAAAGTCTGATTAGGTGCGAGCCATTGCAACTTCCTCGACGTGGGTACACATGTGGTGCCCTTATCAATTTAAAGTTTAGCACAAGCGTATCACCTAGACACAAACCATCTGAAGGCGAAATAAATCCACAAAAACAAATATATGTAGCCCTTATATTGTTGGTGACCATGACCCTATGTTGTCTTAATATTTATAGGACCTGCGTAGTCGACACCGACACCCATTAGTTGTCCTACTCGCTGGAATTCAAAAAATACTGAAATGACTCTTGGGATATTTGTATTGCATTCATACACATCATCACGACATATGCATAGCATACATGTCTTATATACGAAGAGAAAACATAAAAGATTCAAAGTCTATGGTAACGTTTACTAGTGTAACTTTTTCTTTGGTACCTCATGGGATGAAGCTTTTCCAATTTAGCGGCCTTGCATCAGTCTTGCACTACCTTGCACTTTCCATGCACATTCAAAATTAAACAAAAATCAAAATCATTTATTCATCTACATAAGTAACATACATTTATTCTATCGATGTTCATTTTTTTTAATCTACCACCGTTTCGTAATGAGCTTTCTCTAACGGAGAAGAAACAGGCGAAAGAACGTCCGTGGGCATCCACTTTTTTGTCAAACATAATATATTAAACAACTGATTTTTTTTTTCTTTTAGAAATAGCTTGCAATAACCGACTGCTGATGCCCTTGAAGATAGGATGAGAACCAATCCAAAGCTACGGGAGCTAGAATTATTTGAGCAAGTACGGCGAGGTTGATATCACGATCAACTGTCTTAAAGGCGTTAGAAACATCGACCAGCACCATCACCGTCTCTTTTTTATCTTCCATACCCAATCAAACATCGTCAGTGATTTTTAGTATGGCAGTTGTGGTGATATGTCCAGAGCGAAACCCAGACTGATAATCACTCAGTAGGTTATTTTTATGTATGACATAAGAGATTTGCTTATAAGCACAGGCTTCCAAAACTTTATAAAGGAAAAGTAAAATTATAATAGTGCGGTTAATAAATTGAGATAGTGCAGAAGTGATTGGGAAGTACTAGATTAGAAACTTTAAGAAGTGGCCGTACAAATGCTTTTTTCCACATCAATGGACTGACCTGACTCAAGGGAAAAGTTTATAAAGTGAGTTACAGCAGGAACAAGGAAATCTAATAAGAATCTATCATAATTCTACTCACATCGTCACAGCCCACAGCCCCGGATTTGACTGCCAGAATTGCTTTCTTAGGCTCATCTTCGGAAACTGGAGAAAAATAAAATTCTATATTTAAAAAATGTAAAAGAACAATGTATTCTACTATTAAATGTTTTGTTCTTTTAAATTGAATGTCTTAAAATGTTTGATTCATTAAACTTTAGATCCTTACGTGGAACTTTAAACTGAACTCGACAAGTTGAAATGAAAGTTGTTAGTTCTTGAATCCGCAAGCATTTAACACTAGCCAAGTTTACTGGTTCGCATTGCCACAGCTGAAGAGTTGTTCTTCGGTATTCTAACTTATTGGAAATTTTAAATCCTCAAATGCAACATAATTTTATTGCTTCATTAAAATTTTTATATGATGATGATCACCTTCATCATAATAAAATGAAGGTTATCACTAAGAAAATAATCACTTCAGGTATAAAATGTGTTACGTTGCCTATTGCTTTTTCCATGGAATTTTGGAATTTTCAGAGGTACCTTTTATCCAGACTTGTTCCATGTTCTATATAACAAATACATTTTATGACCTATCGAAAAATAAAAAATACCACTAAATTCACCTTCTCCTTTCTTGAAGTGGGTTGAATAAAAGACAAGTTATGGTACAAGGTACTTTTTTTCATTGCAATTTTTATATGCAGAAGAGTCATCGAAAGACGTTCTTAACGTTGTTGCGAAATCATGGAGCCGTTGCTCATATTTTTAGGAGATTTGTCAAAGATTAACAAATTAATAATAATTTCAATCTATTTCATATTACTTCTATTAATTTGCATAGTCAATAATCTAAAAATTTACGCTAGCCCAGGCCTGGCCAGTCCTTGTTCAGTTTAGCAGTTTATTAGAGCATTTAACAACTTGGTTCGTTCCGTGTTAATGAATGTTCCGTGTGAATTAGTGCAGGAAATTATGGAATTGTGAGAATTAAAAAACACTATAAAACGAATTAGGTATGATCCGTAAAATATTTTCATTTAATCATGTGAAGTATTTGTATTAATAGCAGCACTGATTACAAGTGAAACTTGTAACCACTGCTGCTATATAAAAGTAAGAATAATAAAATATGACAGTATTGAAAAATTTATTTTATGTATATATATACTGATTTAAAACTAACTGTTATTCATCAGTGTCTACCATTAAGTGGGTAAATTATAACTCAATACCGACTTAATATAAAGCTAGCATTTTTCTGTTAAAAAGAAAAGAAATCATACCCGCTATGAGCGGAGAAGTACTGCAGACCATTAGTGTACTGACTAATGGACAGTTTTGCTCGTTACAGGTTCAACTAATTATTATTGCTCTATGTAATGCTCATTAAGACTACAATTACTAATTATATTACATTTATTTCAAATTAATTATGAAAACAAACAAAATAAAAGTCGCTAGGAAAACTTTTACTTTACTTTTTTTAATGATTAAATAAGATTTTTGAAAAATACTGATGATGTACTTTGACAACGATGTATTAGTTTTATTTATGAGTACAAGTAAACATTACTCTGAAAGAAAAAAGTACATATTTTCATAATTTTGCATTTTTTTTTGTTCTCTCTAGGTGTCAGTGAACACAATTCTCGCTCTTACCAAATTGTCGGATAAAATAGCGATCGTGTGATCATGTAAGGTCTTTTGTTTTACTATCTTAGAAGTATGCTAATGGAACGGTTCCATAGTGCCAAAAGAAGCATTAATAGAAGAATAGAAGTAGAACACTAACTATGTCAGTTTAGGTAGTAAAAGATATGCCTTATTATTGCTTGTGTTCGGGCAGTTCTAAATTTTTCGTTTGATTGATGTGTGCATTTCCAATCTGAATGCAGATTTCCGAAACAAAGTGAACAGTCTTCTCAATAACTGCATTCGATTCTCTTCAGTCTTCAAAAGTGTGATCATGTGTCCTCACACCGCTCTCAACTGAATTGTTTGCGAAACTTTCGCTCATGAAACAACCTTACTTAAGTGTTCTCTATAATATTCTAGCGTAGTTTATAGTAATGCAGCGCTTAGCTGTCAAATATTTAAAAAAATCTTTGCTTTTCTCAGACTACTTCTTCGAAGACCTTATTTATGAATAAGGGACAACTCAAAGATTCATTTATGAATCATTCGACGGAAGTGCTTTTGTTGAATGGTTGCAAAAACGTATATGTAGATTGATTTTAAACTTTACGCGAAATATAAATGAAACTAATTTAATTATCGCGCGTCGGGAATATAAATTATTTTTAATTTTATTATTATATATATAATTAAAATTATTTTTAATTTTAATTCCCGACATTGTTACGGGAAATATTTGATAATGGCCATCTC